GGTTTTGAGGTCCTGGCGGCACACCCCTACCCAAGTTGGGGTGGTAGTCCCCCCCTCTCTCCCGGGTACAAAGGCAGCACCTTTTCCTTAGTTATTCTGAAGAACCTGAGTATTAGTCCGGTCGGGACTCAAACCACGACCTCATGCACAACTGACGGATGCTCTTATCAATCAATTACATCAATGCATGAAGGAGGAAAAAAGCGCGCTAAAAAAAGCGGTACCTACACTTAGAGCATTAAATGGTGGCGGGTTTATGGGTATGTTCATAAAGAAAGAGTTGCCCTGGTTGCTTATCTTTGTTGGACAGTTAGAAGAAGTAGGTGGTGTTGGAGAAGCAGCACAGATCTTCAGGTACGTGTCACACGCTCTTCCTTGGGCCCATGTATCACAGTATCCTCCATCTGAATCCTCACCGCTAGGATTACGGAATCTTGTGAATACTATGTCGATTCTTCCACTGCTGGCAGCCTTATTCTGAAATTACGCAAAAATAAGGGCGAATAAAAATAAAAGTAAGAATAATCATCATTATATTAAATACGTATAACGCGCTAATTCTATAAAAATATAATGAAATGCGCGAAACAGTAGAGGCAGTAGTAATAAGAACACAGATGTAAACTCTAGTTTATATTACTTTTATATAACATTTACTCATACACTTCCTTTGCACGACTACAACACAACTATAACTAGAGTGTCAGGTTTTAAGGAGGGAGAAAAATCATGAAATACCGACGGGAGAGAGACCTAAACAATTCTAGTCACGTGTGATGCAAAGCTAGTTCAAAAATAGAACCTGTAACCCCAGGGTTGAGAGGTGAGTGCACTACCACTACCTCACACCTGATTCCCCAAATTCCTAGTTCTCTAAATTTGAGTTATAATCAAATAAGGCTGTTTTTTTTTTTAATTTGTTACGCAGGTGATAAATTGGCCGATCGAGATTGTGTCGTGATCAGCTTGTGTTTGGATTGGTATAGTATTATACATGTGAAAGAGCAGTGGGGAGTAAGGACTGATTCAAATCGGATCATTTTTTAAAGCTCTTGCAGGTCAGCTGATTGAAATACTCTGCGCAATCATGACTAAAGATCCTATAGTAAAAACACAGTGATTAAAAACACTAAATAAAAGATACCAAGCAGGGCCTTGACTAAAAATGTGATTTCATTAGGGAAAGAATAAGGAAACAAGCCAGACTGTTTATCATTTCTGCTCATCTGTAAATCAAAATCATGCAAAATAAAACGTTTTAAAAACACGAAAAAAAACTTACAGTACAGTTCTGACCGTGCCAGGAAACATGACAGATTTTATCTCCAGTTGTCGTGTTACACTTGAAGTGACCAAAGATGTCGTCACGCGGTCTGCAGTATTTTGTACAGTTAGACTGTGGTATATACCAGTGTGTTAAGCACACCTTGTCTCCATTGTTGTTACATCTGTAATGACCAGTGTTATCAGAGTCTGTGTATTGACAGTGTTTGTCACATCTTTGTCCATAGTAATGTCTATCACAGTAGATACGGTACTTAAAGTCAAGAGTACATTTAACAGATATCGTCCTTGTTCCATTCACTGATAGACTTGTCCAYGGTGGTATCGTACCATTAGGTGTTGGTTGGTTTGTGAAGGTATAAGAGAACGTATCGATCAGATCATCAGAACTAAGATCATCATTATCCCATGCTGCCACGTAAAATCCATAGGGTCTCTGCAAATAAATAATAATAATAATAATGAAATAACCTGCGGTCGTTTATCTATGATACTATTTTGACCACCACTGCACACTTAATTCATTTACGTTTGTAATCATCATATTTGTTTTTTTATTTCTCCTGTAATTTTTAAGAGTGATTTTCCTGAAATCCTCACGTAAACTTGTTAATTCGTGTGCGAAATAAATAAAGTTAAGTCTACATGTGTGTACAATAAAAGTAACGGAGGGAGAGAAGCGCGGTAAATCATTCCATTACCTACCCTTAGAACATTAAATGGTGGCGGGTTTATGGGTATGTTCATAGTGAAAGAGTCTGCGTTCTGCTTGCTGATCTTTGTTGGACAGCTTGAAGAAGTAGGTGGTGTTGGAGAAGCTACACAGATCTTCAGGAACGTATCACACTTACTAGCCAATTCACAATATTTTCCATTTACATCTTCACCGCTAGGATTTTGAAATCTTGTGAATACGACGTTGATTCTTCCACTGCTGGCAACCTTATTCTGAAATCACGCAAAAATAAGGGGAATAAAGATAAAGATAAAGATAATCATATTTATATCTAATACTTATAACACGCTAATTCTATATACACATAATTGAAAAAACGTTGTCGGGTTCAAAAAAAGGTTATAACATAAAAGCTAAGACCGAAGGGGAGCATGGGAAGACAAACAATTATGCTAATTTCATGCGTATTGCAGTTTTCCCTTCCTGTGCACATTTTATGCATCATGGCTTTGGTATGTTCTTAATCTAGGCCGACCGCCTTTGCTCTACTGTGCATTTTTACATGTCTATATGCAAATATAATACTTATTTCGGAGTACCCAAAATCCTTTTCGGTCTTAGCTTCGATGATATGACCTTCTTGAACTCGACAACGTTTTTTTCAATTAGGTGTTTAAATATATAATGAAATTCGCGAAACAGTAAAGGCAGTAGTCATAAGAACACAGATGTAAAGTATAGCTAATGTCCCTCTTATATAACATTTACTCATACACTTCCTTTGCACGACTACAACACAACTATAACTAGAGTGTCAGGTTTTAAGGAGGGAGAAAAATCCTGAAATACCGACGGGAGAGAGACCTAACCAACTCTACTCACGTGTGATGCAAAGCTAGTTCAAAAATCGAACCTGTAACCCCAGGGTTGAGAGGTGAGTGCACTACCACTACCTCACACCTGATTCCCCAACTTCCTAGTTCTCTAAATTTGAGTTATAATCAAATAAGGCTGTTTTTTTTTCTAAATTGTTACTCAGTTGAAAAATTGGCCGTTCGAGATTGTGTCGTGATCAGTTTGTGTTTGGATTGGTATAGTATGATACATGCGCAATCGCAGTGGGGAGTAAGGAGTGATTCAAATTAGATCATTTTTTATAGCTCTTGCAGATCAGCTGATTGAAATACCCTGTGCAATCATGACTAAAGATCCTAAGTATAACACAATGATTAAAAACACAATATAGCATCCCTGGGCCTTAACTAAAAATGTGCTTTCATTAGGGAAAGAATATTAAAAGAAACAAGCCAGACTGTTTATCAGCTCTGCTCATCTGTAAATCAAAATCATGCAAAATAAAACGTTTTAAAAACACGAAAAAAACTTACAGTACAGTTCTGACCGTGCCAGGAAACATGACAGATTTTATCTCCAGTTGTTGTGTTACACTTGAAGTGACCAAAGATGTCGTCACGTGGCTTGCAGTATTTTGTACAGTTAGACTGTGGTATATACCAGTTGGTTAAGCACACCTTGCCTCCATTACCATCACATTGATAATGACCTCTACTGTCATTACGAGGGATGCAGTATTTTGTACAGTTAGACTGTGGTATATACCAGTTGGTTAAGCACACCTTGTCTCCATTACCATCACATTGATAGTAACCTCTACTGTCATTACGAGGGATGCAGTATTTTGTACAGTTAGACTGTGGTATATACCAGTGTGTTAAGCACACC